GATTACTTTTTTTCATGTATTAGGTGTTGCATTTGCATTAGGTGTTAAAGCTCTGCAGGTGGTTGTTCTTCATTATCCAAGACTGAAATATAATACAGAATAGTATATAGAATAGTATACAGAATAGTAACTTATGTGCTGTTTTACCATTTAATTTAGCAAGGGAGCTCACTGAGCATACTCTACCAAAAGGTAATTGCTGAACAAGTGAAACACACTTTGATATGTGAAGTGAGAGATGGTTTTCCTCTTCTTTATGCACATTCACTTCCACCTTTTTCACCATCATGCTTGCTTGTGAAGAACGGATGTAATACAAGGAATTTGCTGGTAGGCATTTCTATAGCAGTCAGAGCTTGGGGGTTCTGGCCACAACATGATCTCCAGGAGTATGGATCTCCAGGTTATCTCTTGCCTTGTGCACTTACAAATTAAGTTTATGGAAAAAGCAGGAGAGCATCAGTGGACCAAAAGTCTACAACCAGGGAGGAAATCCAGACAAGACACAACACAAAACAAAACAAGAGCATCTCCAGCTGTAAAGAGCAACAATGTGGGGCTGATGGAAGAGCTACAAGAAAGAGCATGGCTGCCTCGACAAGTCTTTGAGATCCTTCTCTTCTGTGAGGTAAATCATATTTCTTAACTGTTGCGCAACAGAAAATGTCAACAGAGTCAACAAGAATGTCCAGTTTTCTGGAACTCAAGCCAGAATCCCATGAAGGATTGGTTTTTATTTGCACACGTGCCATTAAAAATAATTTCATTTGCTACTCAGATGAGCAATGCATGAATACATAAATATTACAGAGACCATTTCTCAAAACAGCCTCCGGAGGCAGCCAGTTCACACACCACAAACAGTTACTGTGTAAACAATGCTAACCTGAAATGACAGATGTTGGCCCAACCAGGTTAAACCATTCCAATGAATGCTTTCACTATATGCTTTTTGACTTGATCGTAGAGCAACTTCTGTGTGCGCTTTGCCCTCAGTGTCTTTGCCATGTCAGAGACGTTTTTGGAACATGATAAAGACAACAATCAACTCATGCAAATTCCATGGCAAATGAAACTTGTCTGGGAACTCAGAACCTTTCCTCATTTTGGAAAAGAGGGTCTTTGGAGACATGCACATTGTTTTAAATAGAACAAAACAATTGCTACCATCTTTGAGTGTGAATTTTTCAAATATAGGCAGTATTTCTTTGGATTCTTATTGCTAGACATAGCTGTGCTTTGCACAACTTAAAAGTTACTCTTCCATTATAAGGGAAATGGTCCAATGAAAATACTGATTAGGTTAAAGACAAAGGAAGAAAACCCATGCCTAAAACTGAGCAGTGCTGATGCTTTAAAAGAACTGCCACATGAAGCTAAAGAATAGAATTTAAATGGCTAATAGTCTCAACTGAAAATCAAGATGCTACTATTTCCTTTTCCTATAATCAGAATGTATTGCACTGATTGAAAGAAATAATGGCTCAAATGTGCTGACGAAGGTCTGTCAGAATCAAAAACGCACCAGAAAGGCAGTGATATACATGAGTGGTGTCTGGGGCATGTGTACAACATTCAGATGCTGCATTTTTTGCCTCAAAATGGTCTTAGGGAAACAGCCACAGAACTACCATGGCTTACCTCACACCCCACAAAACAACTCCCAGTCCACTGATGAACCTATTAGGCATGTTACCACTTCTATAACTTGAGAGAATTGTTCTTGCCTAAGCAACAAAAATAAATAAATAAAAACACGAGGCTCAAATCAAGACGTGTAACCACAGAAGACAAAAGTAGCTCTTTCGATTTCTGTATCAACTCAACCACATGTTGGAAGCTTCATTTCGATGAACTAAAATGAAAAAGGTAATACTCTTAAATATTAATACCCAAAGTGCCTTGGCTCCTGAAACACTTAAAGAGGCTTGGAAATGCACTTGAGAAAGGTCAGTTTCAGCTCTTCTTAGCTCCTTTTTTGCAGCAACAATCCATTGTGGCTGTTAATTTATCAATTGCTGGATGACCTTTTTCTACAAGGTGATTTTTATTTTTCCGTAAATTAAATCTTGATCCTTCTGCTCTTTCACATGATTGACTTATTCTCTTATTTGATTGATTTATGTTATTACATAACAACAACTGCTTTATTATTTGTCTCTGAATAGCCTACATTGTTTACACGATTTGCAGCAAGATTGAATACTATAGTTCCAAAAACTTAATTCTAGACTAAGTTCTAGAATCAGATTGTTGGCTATGCAAGTGAGTTTGTATGGTAACTAAACAGTTGTTAAGCATCAGCTAGATAGTATGAGATAAAGAACTGCCTTAAAAAAATATATATATAACTAGTACTGACTAATGAACAGGACATGAATTCTGAGTGTGATACCATGTGCAAGGGGAATACATGAAGAGGCCATGGGAGAACAACCAACATCAGCGGGCACTGGTAAACAATAGTAGCAGAACCTAGAACACACGGTTAAGTTTGGTTTTGATAACTGTAGGAGAAAAGGTTGTATATTTAGTTACTTTACCAAAAAGAAACATGGAGGAGATTTAAAATATGTACTACTAGGAAATCTGAGTTGGAAAAGTCAGTAAAATATCATGCAAAAGAGCCAGAAAGAGCCAGCATCCGGATGTACTTTACTTTTTTTTTTTTAGAGAGATGAAAAGAAATAGAGATGTAGGTGATGCAGAGAAAGAATGACTACAGTAAAAGCACAGAAATTGAGCTGTCTTGATTTTTTTTCTGAAGGCATGTTCTAGTTAAATAGTAAAAATCACATGGTCCATATAAGAATTAAGTGAGATTCTACAGTCTAATTTAATAACAGAAGTCATAACTTCCAGAATATGAAAAGAAAAAATTAAGTCTACTTCTATCTGAAGGGCTGATGATATATGTCATATATAATATGCAACAGCACACAGATCAAATAACAAAGGGCACAAAAGGAGTCGAACTTCATTTCTGAGGCATTTTTTTAAGGCAGACATCTCTTATTACAGAAATACCACAACAGGGACAGTGGAGCTGTATTTTAAGAAGTGTATTTTAAGAAGTGTATTAAGAAAAAACACTTTGAGACCACATCATAAAATGGAGTAATGGACAGAATTCTACTCAACCCGAAGTGCGGATATAAAGCTGACCTGAAATCTAATATTTAGACCACTGGACTAAGCCAGAAAAGAGGGAGCCTTTTATAGATAGTGAAACTCAGATTGTGGAATTGTTCCTTTGCATGTGCAGGTTTAGAGCTGTTTTTGAAAGTATAATCATCATTTTAAACACCAGAGCACCAGGGAGATTAATTTCACAGACCACATTCTGGAAGTAGAAAAGCATGAAAACAATCTGCTTTACACCTGTATACCCATTAGCAAGGTCAAGAGACTTGTTCTCCTGCACAGAAAAACTGGGAAATTCCTCTACAAGAAAAGATAGAGGGCATATGTTGAAGCTGACGTTTTTAATATACCCTGATCAGCCAAAGGTAAATGAACAAGATAAGAGTGGCACTACAATACTGGAACAAGATTCACTTTCTAATTTTGAAATTTCTCTTCTGCCAATACAAGGGCTGCCCACTTCCACCAAAGTAAACCACATAAAAGCTTCTTTCCTTCTATGACCAAAGAGCCTTTTACAAAGAGAATAAAAACTGCAGACTATAGAGTTGCCAAATCTGAAATAAAGCGGAAGCAGCAGTGGCATTTCTTCTCAGAGAAAATTCCAAATTTATTTTGTTAAATAAGCCCCAAAGACTAACAAGTCTCTTACCAATTCCCAAATCAATGACTGTCAATACATATCATGCAGGCCAACAGTCTCGCAACCTCTGAGTGCTTTACTGAGCTGAACTGGTACAACAGACTGGCTCATTTTCCCCTCTAGCACCATGAAAATTCTGGTTTATAAATTATATTTATGTGTTTTACTGACAGATACTTACTTGAGTGAAAGAGAATAGTCGTGCTTGCTTGTTTGACTATTTCTTACAAGGTAGCTACACTCCTTACATAAACGTAACAGGTTTTCTGCATCTGTTCGACTGATTGCTCCATGATACCATCTAGGAAAAAGCAGAGAGATTAATATATACATATTCCAATTGACACTGCTTTCTCTACTTTGGTTTTTAAGGTATGAGAAAGTGATATTTAAAGAACATCTCAAAGACAAAAAGCAGATTGCTTGCCATATCTGAAGTTAATGTTACATTTGGGATGTCTTGTAGTTACTTTCCACTAATTGACATAAATATTTATGTAATAAACCCTTATCAAGCACACTATTATCTGTAATTTGCAAGCACTAGATCACAGTGCACTATTTTGTCCCAATACTACACTAGTATTTCAACTAAAGGCAAGCAAAACCACTTTTGAGGAATGTGAAAAAAATAATATGTGCAAAAAAAGGAGAAAAAAAGGAGAAAAACAATAAGGAAGGGTGCCTGTTTCCTCTGTGTGACGATTTATAAAAAAGACACATCTAAGCAGGGCTTGTAAAACTCCAGACAGTTTTAGTAACTCCTGCGTGGGAATCTTTGGAAAGGGAAATTCTTCTGTGAGCTGGGAAGAAAGGAGAAAGGTGGGTCCTTTATTAAGCTGACCATTGCAAGAGAAGAACCTCTTCTCCAAATTCTGGAGGTTATGCTACTAACTACCTACCTGGTTAACACCAGCTCCATTGTCCAAGCTGGCAAATGCGCTAAACAAAAGTTAATGATCAAATTAAAAATTCATCATGTGCCTGCTCTGGTTGCAACCAGATCTCCGTTTGAGAGGGATAACACAGGGATTAAACTACTGCATATTCAAGACAGATAAGGAAAGCATATGGTGACAGCTCCATCACACCATAAGCAGCAATGAAGCTTCCTCAAGACTGGTTGTTTTTAGACAGTATTCACCCTTCCCTCAGCATCTACTTACTCCTGGAGGATATGTGTCAACAAGCAATTTGAAGGCTAAGTTGTATTCTGAACATAAGAGAAAGATGACAAATTCATAAGAGTTGATCAAAAAATGGAATTGCGAAAGAATCTAAAATTACTCCTAATGCTATAAATCATTTCTTGGAGGAACAGAAAAAGTGGCAAATAAAACCAACATAAAACACAAATCCAGTAAAAAACAGGAAACTGTCCTGAAAACCAAGATTAACAGGGAAGTGTTTCATCTGTTCTTTCGGTCTCGTGGTCTCCAGTGGACAGACTCAGGCTCATGGACAAAGAACATCAAACTGTGTCCGAGAAACAATACTGGCTTTTAAAAACAGGGTTGGGAGAAGAACAACAAAGTATATAAAGAGAACTCTTGATGCAAACATCTAATTTAAAAAACAAAACAGAGAAGTTCTAGCTATAGCTGAGAGTAAACATGAGCATTATGAAGTGTTTGCTTGTTATCACATGCCAGTGAAGACAGACAGATTTTTATGCTCCAGCTATCCAGAGAGGTAAGCATGAAAGTTCTTGACCATTTTGCTGTTTCAACTGTATTGCAGCTGTTCATTCTGGACATAGTTATTCTTCAAATGCCAACATTTGTAGATAACGGTCAATACTGAAATGTCAAGAACATCTTCATAGAGCAGGGAATCAGGCCAGGGGAAAAGCATCAGAAATAATAGTTGAAAATGTTTACATCTTCTGACATGTCTTGGAGAAATACAGGCACATAATGCAAATCTAGAAGGAAAACTCAAACGTAATCACGTAGTTCTACCTTTATAAGGATTTCCTCCTAGGATTAAGTGAAAGCATCCTGATCTGTGTGTCTTCTAGACATTCTTCTCGATGTCCCTGATTTTGTCAATGATCAGGTATGAGTTATCATTTGGCTACAGCTTCACTGAAGACAGGGCAGCTGCATTAGCTATGCAGCAAGTGCAATCAGTTATTGCAGTTTACATAATGCATAATATGAATCTTCCGTCTCTGAATTAGTCAGAGCAAAACAGGAAGTCACCAGGTCTTGTACGTAAGGCTGGGAGGGATTCACTTTCAAGAGAATGCAGGAAACAAAGCAGATGATTATTTCTTTTTTCACTGCTACTTCTAGGAACCAGAACAATTTCATTCAATTTCCCTGTGTCTACGAGTTACTAAATTCCTAAAATTAATAACTTAATCACAATCAACTTGTTGATATATTACCATGCCTTGGAATTTCTGCCTGTTTGCGAAAGTTCCTAGCAACGCTTTGCTAATTTTCTTGTTAATTAGCATGTTTCCTTTCCTCTAGATCCTGCTCTATCCTAAATCAGAGTCCATACTTGTAAAAACTGAAAATGAGGAACTGGTTTGGCAGATGCTGTGAAGAGGTATTATTAAAATGTGATCAGCTCATACAAGTATGACTAACTAGAGTAAAAAAAATCCAAGCTCTCCAGCTTTCTGATACATTGTTAACTGCACATTCACTTCTTCTGAGGTCCTGCATACATAAGAACCAAAAACAATCCAGTAAGAACAGTTTTATCTGCTTGAATTTTTAGAATGGGCTAAATCTGCAGTCCTTTAGGCAGTGATTAGCATGCCTAGTGTGTCTATTGCAAATTAAGAACTAAACTTAGACATCCTAAGAACTAAAGAACAGTACACCCATCTGGACTACGGAAGGGATTGTGCCCCTGTGCTCGGTGCTGGTAAAGGCCACACCTCGAATCCTGTGTTCAGTTTTGGGCCATTTAGTAGAACAAAGAAGAACATGGAGGCGCTGGAGCATGTCCAGAGAAGGGCAATGAAGCTGGGGAAGGGGTTGGAGCATAGATCTTATGAGGAGCAGCTGAGGGAGCTGGGGTTGTTTAGTCTGGAGAAGAGAAGACTCAGGGGAGACCTTACCACTCTCTATAACCACCTGAAAGGAGGTTGTAATGCGGTGGAAGTCAGTCTCTTTTTAAAAATAACTGTTGATAGGACAAGAGGAAATGGCCTCAAGTTGCACCAGGGGAAGTTCCGGTTACACATTAGGAAAAATTTCTGCACAGAAGGAGTGGTGAGGCATTGGAACAGGCTGTGCAAAGAAGTGGTGCAATCCCTGGCAATGTTCAAGGAATGTGTAGATGAGGCACACAGGGACATGGTTTAGTGCGAATGATGGTGATGAGTTTATGTTTGAACTTGGTGTCTTGAAGGTCTTTTCCAGCCTTAATGATTCAATGATCAGGCTGAGGATTTATTAAACAGGTTACCAAAAAGGTCGAAAGAGAACCATCCAATAATCTATGTGGGAGCCAACACTTAACAGATGCTCAACTTTCTGCAATATGTTAAATGTACTTTGGGACTAGAACTATTCAATAAGTATCAAATTTTATAGACAAATGTAAAACACTTTAATTGTTTAGGTATAGTATTTTCAGTGGGGATTTTGAAATGAGAGGTTGCTCTTCCCTGTGTTTTAGATGCATCTACCCTCTGACAATGAGCAGACCCCTCAAAGTTTTGGCTGTTGTCAGTAAGTTAAAAAATGATACCATGGGGGTGATACTATTCTACATTTTAAACTTAAGTGTTGCATAGGAAAAGAGTATGTCAAAGAGAAAGGAACTTCTGGAATGACTTTTCCTCAGCTATAAATGTCAGGACAGAAATGAGGTAAGACAAAAGTCACTGTTTTGGATAAGAGAGCTTAATTCATGGGAGTTTCCCCACATCTTGACTTCAGAGCTGACAAAGCTGCCATATCATCCTGAGTTTGACACCATAACAGAAATAAATATATTTTTTTTTTCTGAAAGATCTGAAAGCAGTCTTACAGCTACATGAAAGGCACATGCAAGATACCAGAAGTATACTATGCAACCATAAATATATGGAATTCATGAAGCAGTAACGCATAGTCCAGATGTACGTTCTCCACACCTATTTTCCCCAAAGTAATGAAAATAACACAGATCAAAATGCAATAAGCCATGTGTGCCTGGCCAGATAAAATTCAGTATACCTGAGGTAAGCTCCAAGAGGCTCTTACTTAACTTCATTTTATCCCTCACAGAAATTACTTGAGTTCTGTGCAACTAATAGTAATTTTCCATGAAACATTTCCATGAAATTTTCCAAGAACATTAACACAGGGGAAAGTGAGGAAGAGGAGCTGGACAGCAGGATGGAAGTCATCCGCTCCTCTTATAAGTGCAGGGCAAAGAGGTGAAGAGCAATTATTGTGTTTACTTACATCTGTTTTTCCAGTGCAATAGTTGGATCTATCCTTTCTCCCAGGATGCCACAAAATTCTGGACTGCCATGTTTGATGGGTTTAAAGCCTCCTCCAAGTGCTCGTAACTGCCTGCGCTGATCATTTGAGGAATAAGGTGCCTGTCGCTTCTCACTTCCATTAAACTGGGCTGCAAGATACACAACAGGTTAGCAAGGTCCAACACAGCTGTAGCATTTAAAGAGCTTTTCAGGAGAAAAAGTGTGCATCCACTAGCATGAAATCTAGTGGTTTAACTGCAAAATCATCATAAGATGATGCGGTCAAACCTCACAGTACCTCAGACTACCAAAGACAGAGAAAACAGTCATTTTACCTGTCAAAATTAAGACAACAAGCAGATGAAATCATCATGAATCCAGTTTGCCTAAGCTATATAGAATAACTGAACAGTGACCTGGGTACAAATACGGATAGCAAACACCCATTTATCCACATCAAAAGTGCTATCAAGCAGCAATGATTTTATAAACTGCACCCACTTGTACAAGGTTGACACAAACCCTTTTTGTCTTGAAATAAAAGAGTCCAAAGAGCGATGAAAAGAGAAGATAACATTTGTCAGTTCCTCTCACAAACTGTATTATTATTTTAAGGCAAGATATATGGCTTATTAGCAGAACTGTAATTTCTCAGAACACCACATTGTCTGTAACAAAACACGTACTAATGAGACCTTTATCCTCATGCATATAAAAACTGCACTTACAGATTCTGTGCCTTCCTAGTTTCATACAACTAAAGGCAGAACAGTTACTTTCTTCTCGAGCTGATCCCTGAATTTTAGACATGTTTCTTCATCATCAAGAAATAACACTCCCAGCTTATCGCTTTTCAGGTTATCTATCAGGAACTGTGTAAAACAAATATCACTGGTGTCACGAGGCATAGGCTACAAGACCCACCTAAAAATACACACAAAGAGCAAGTAACTCTCCTGCACATTTCAGAAGGAGAGAGAGAAAAAAAGTGTTCTAAGAAGTTTTGAATTCTTTTTCTTTTTCAGTTAGAAGATGTAGGGTAGTTCCAGATTGTTCTTCTAATTAATTAAGTCAGTAGAAATTACTGCTGAAGTGGAGTAAATGTATTCGCACACATTCTGAAGTTTACGTGGCAGAAATATACAGGGTATTATTACTTTTAATGGAAATTCAGATTTAACTTAATTATTGGATAATGGAAGTTGAATAGCTAAAGAAGGAGAAGCAGGGCATGTGTATACCTGCAACTGAAACAGACACAGAGCACTTAAATTCAGACAGAAAAAAACACCTAGTACTCAAAGATTGGAATTCTATGAATACTGGTAAACTCATGTCTTCAGTGACTCAGGAGTATCTTTCAGACACCAAAAACATTTGTTTCACAAAACAACTGTTATCCAACTGTACACTGCAATATCTTTGCAATATTTTGATAGTTAGAAGAAAAGTTTGTTCTTCAAAAGCAGTGTGAAGTTGAATTTCAGAAGCTTCTGAATGTTTTATTTCTCTGAAAAGGTGAGATAAGTGCCCGGACTCCATCAAACAGACAAATTGGCAAATACTATGCTCAAAATAAAGCACCAGTCTATGTGAATCAAGACTGTCACGACTCATCCTAGACCATTTCAAATTTCATCCTATCCAGTGCTGGAGCTCCTGTAGTGAAGGTTCATCAGCTCAGCTCCAGGCAGCTGTAGCGGAAAGCTCCTTAGGGACATGGCATTTCTGTTTGGACATGACCATTACAGTTCCACATTACATTGTGGAACTGGCTACAACCCTTCCCCTTTCTCCATGCTTCCTTTCTTGCCTTGCCCTGCAGCTACTGCCAAAACCCACTGAGGGTGGCATGCCATGACTCCCCTGCTTCCAGTTCCCCAAGGCCAAGGCACAATCTTTCCATGCACTAGCAACTGCACTAGCAGAGCTGTCCAAATTTGTTACCTGTGGTTCTTCCTCAAGGAAGCCAAGGAGCAAGCGGCGGCCATGAATGGGTCTTCAGGCCCCCTTCATAACAGAGGGCCGTTTCTTTTATAAAGTTGTATTTATATGGGTTTTACAGACTTCATATTTCTTTTACTCGGTGTTTTACCCTATGAGCAGACTCATACACACAAGGGGAAGGACTGTCAGACTGCTGTTCTTGAACGGACTCGCCTGTGTTTCCTTCTCCCTTTCCAGAAAGACTATGTACCAGAAAATTACCCTGTTCCTGTCATTTAGCCAGACTCTTGGCCCTAACCTAACTGGTTTGCCAAGCTCAACAGGAGGTATAACAGGACCTGTTCTCATCCCATAAGAACCTTCAAAAACACTTCTCAGCTTCAGTCTGCATGTGTCACTGTGCAGACTTCAAAGAAACCATATCAAACCTGTTTGCAGAAGAACTTAAGCCACAAGACATGCTGTATCCCAGGCAGCACAGCTATATCTTTTTACCATGCAAGATTTACAGCAAGTGTTCCTGAGGAAAGCTATGGACTTCCTGCTCTGTAGGTGACAAGAAGACACCAGCAGACCAGCTCTGTGCTGTGTTTGGGAGCCATACTGTGGGCATGATGCCATCAGCCACAGCAGGCATCACAGGCCAGGAAGACTTTGTGCCTCTTCCCCACCTGTCCGTGCACAGGCCAGAAACCAGGCTTGATACACATCATCTCAGCAGTTAAGTCTTGAAATGGTGGCAGCAGAACATAAAATTTGTTCAGACTTAGATGAATAATTGACTATACAATAACTCTCCTGTGCTTCTTGACATTTCAGTTTGTTTCCCAGGTCTGTCGCACAACAAACTGAAAACATTCACTGTACAAGTCTTATCATGTCTGTCCTTCAAATCACAAATGTCTGCTAGATGGATCCAGACGGACCACTTTTAGCAGAGGTCACCTTTACATTTGCAGCCTCCAAAACCTCAGTAGTACTTGGGACCAGTGAAGTGAGAATTGCTCATTGCCAGCATCTTTATTGTCATATTGGTCAAGGTTGTGCTTGTTTGAGAAATCCACATCAGTTAAAATGGAACAAAAAAAACCTATAGGGTTGAGGTTTAAACCATCTAAACAATAGGTTTAGCAAGCTATGCTAAAGAATCACAGCACTGACAGAAGTTGGAAGCATTTCTGATATCTCAGGAGGACAGAGCTTTTGGATGTATTTCCTTATTTCAAATGCAGGAGTTGGAGCTCTTGTTGCCTTGTTTTAAATATTTATACTGCCCAGGAGTTAGATTAAGTGAAGTGAGCACTGGTTAGAAAGTAGTTTGAATCTATGCTTGTAGCCAATCCTCCTGAATAGAAATTCATTTATCTCAGATATAGCACACTGGAAGGAATTACATACCTAATCTCAGATAGATGATTTGCCTGGGAAGAAAAATAAGTTTTTACCCTCTTAGCACTGTAAAACAGAACTGAAGCAGTTTTTAAAAGTGACAAACTAAACATGCTTCAAATGCTTATGTAAATCCAACAGGGATTCAAATATCATAATACTTTTAAATTCCATTTCATGTTAGTTTGCCACTTTTAAAAACTATGTTTTAATTAACTGTGTATTCATAATAGAAAATAACCTAATCTCTTAGGAGAAAATTTGCACATAGCAAAACAAAGTCTAAAATTGGATGCATTATGCTTAATTATTTCACAGTTGCATGCAGACAAAACCTGAAGAAAGAACTAAGAAAAAAAAAATCCTTTTTTTTTTTCAAAATCAACACTATTTTGGAATTCACCTGGTAACAGGCAGAAAATAAAGGTAGGAAAATAATTACAAAATCCAAAGGTTTGACAGGGACCAAGCGAGTTGAGAGCAAAATCAGTGGGCTCCCGGCCTGCATCAGGAGGATCGTTGCCAGGAGGGTGAGGGAGGGGACCCTGCCCCTCTGCTCAGCTCTGGTGAGGCCTCACCTGGAGCATTGGGGGCAGTTCTGGGCTCCCCAGACAAGAGGGATGTGAAGTTTCTAGAGAGGGTCCAGTGGAGAGCCACGAAGATGATTAAGGGACTGGGGCATCTATCTTATGAGGAAACACTAAGTGAGCTGGACCTGTTTAGTCTGGAGAAGAGAAGGCTGAGGGGAGATCTTATCAGTGCATACAAATACATGAGGGGAGAGTTTAAAGAGGATGGGGCCAAACTCTTCTTAGTGGTGGCCAGAGAGAGGACAAAGGGTAATGGGTACAAATCAAAACACAGGAATCTTGATTTCCGTATGAGGAAGAACAACTTTCCTGTGAGGGTGACAGAGCACTGGCACAGGCTGCCCAGGGAGGTTGTGGAGTCTCCTTCTCTGGAGATCTTCAAAACCTGCCTGGATGCCACCCGGTGCCACGTGCTCTGGGTGTCCCTGCTGGAGCAGGGGGTTGGACTAGATGATCCCTAGAGGTCCCTTCCAACCTTAACCATTCTGAGATTCTGTGTGAAACCCAAAATGTAGCAGAAAATGTACTACTTTTCTGAGTGAAATAATCTCAGTCATTTCATATGACAGGCACAATACACATAAAATCAGGCCTAGGATTTCCATTTGTACACACATATATCACAATTTATTTTAAAATCAATAATATCACACTTCAGAGTGATCTCACTGGCAACAGAAATGCCCTGGTCCCATTGCACCATATTGCAAATACTTAGCTTGCACTTCAATGTTGCCAAACAAAAAAGTTTCTGTTTCAGATATTTTGTTCACTTTTGAGAGACAAATGAGGAAGGGACACCTCTAGTTTGGTATCAATGCAAATCTGATGCGGTATGTTTCCTCTCTTTCTCCAGGTCATAGCTGCAACCAGCCTCCAGGAAAATATGAAGCACTGAACACTTATAAGCTCTGTGAGGCCTCCTCACAGGTTTTCACTCGTCGAAACTGTAACATTCCAAACTACATTACAAGGATATTGCAGCAGCACATATTGAGGGCTGAAGTCAATGTACATGCACCAACTGCATCAACAGAGAAAGCAGTGAGATTTAACAAGCAAGATTTAGCATGAGGTAAATTCATGCTGGTTATTCCTAAACCTTGATCCCAAGACTCCTTGTCTTACTCCCAATCTCCTCCTGCACCTAGAGATGCATCTCTTGCTTTACCTCCTCACTCCCAGAATCCTGGCTACACGCAGCTCTGGTTCTTGCCTTCCTAAGTCTTCTGCCAAACTGACACCTAAAGACTCTTTTTTCAGACACAACTTTTAATCACAACGTATCATTGAAAGGAAGATGATAGAGCAACATTCTACAGGAGCTTCTGGGAACAGGGCCAGAGCATCAGGCTCAGCTGGGCTTTGCTGAGCCTGATGGGCTTTGCTAGGGGAAGAGGATTCCACTATGGAAAAAATTCTCAGCCTCCTGCTGAGGCTTAGTCCTCTCAGCTATTTTCTGCCATGTAGCAACAGGGAGAAAGAGGCAGCAAAGCACAACCAGTATCAACACAAAGCACAGACAGTCACAGAGAGCGTGAACAATTTGGTGTGAGGTTTTCTTGAGTGACAAGTTCTTAGATCTTGAGCAGTTCTAAAGCACTCACCTGAATACAACTTATACACATCTAGAGAGGCACTCTAAATAGGATGAAGACAACATTCTTGGCAAACAGCAAGAAACAACACCAAGTAGAGGCATGTTATCATGTGCATGTTAAACAGCTACTTTTTAATCCATCTCCTTTGGGAAACTCTGAGGACCAGTATTTACGTTTCATGCATGAGGGAAAATTTTCCAGTTGGGATCTGGGAATCTTACCTGCCAGGGCTGGGATGGTGACTTTGTTCCATTCCCATGGCTGGTCATATTCATCTGGAGGCCTGTCATCGTCCTGTGGCAACTTGCTTTCTCGCAAATGCTGACTCACCACGCTGTCAGAGTCCGATTCCACACTGCCGCCTTCTGGCTCATAGGGCATATCATAGAGCTGCATACTTTTTCCATGGGGCTTCTCATTCTCAGGCCTCTGATATTCTGTTGGCCAAATAAAGAGAAAATTCCATTATTGTCACTGCTGACCATGCCTTATCATGACTGGTAATGATTTAACTCCAGCCACTACATAATATCTATGTAATTATACTGCAGATGACAAGCCGGTCCTCTAAAACCTGTCTCTGAACCGAGTAACTGAAAACAATAGTTTGCGCTACACGGCAAATAGCTTTAGCACATTCTTCTGCCTCAGCAACATAGCCCAGTTGTCACAAAACCAGATTACTGGAAGCACAAAGTACTCATCAACCTGTATAAAACACATACATTCTGAGAACACTGGTGTTCCTGGATGCACTTAAATCTTCGAGAAAAGTTGTGCAACTCAAAGATAACACAACAATATATTTGTGACATTAAATATATGTAATAATATTTATACTATATTAGCTTACAGCATTTCAATATTAATTTAAATGCACATGTGTTCCTTCACAGTGACTTTGCAAAAAATGGATATGCTAAAACTTGGCAAAAAACAACAAAGCACTGTCATCATGAGTTAGGCAAACCACAAGCCAAACTGTTTGGAAGAACACAGCCAGCAAATAGAGGGAGGAAGCCATCATGCCCTCTCCTTGGGTTTCTCCCCAGGAAGGATGCAACCACTGTACAACTAGATCCAGTTTGCACACACTGCCTTTCCATAGCTCATAAAACAAGAAAGCGGCCATCACCAGCTGAACAACGGCCTATCTGGGCAGTCTGATGAGGAAGAGGCTATGGAGGACCTAACAGCATCCCACACCACCTGAAGGACAGTCATAACTCAGTCCTCCTCAGTCGTGCCAGGCAATGCAACAGGGGGCAACAGGACCAAGATGCAGCCTGAGGGATCTAGCTGGGGCACTGGGAGGACCTTTTGCCTTGGAGAGTGCTCAGCCCTGCACAGTTGGCCAGGGAGTTGGCGATGGTGGTGGAGGGAGGTCACTGATCTTTGCAAGTTTTGGCTAGGCAAAACCTGGGCCGCTCCATCTAGTGCTATGGGCACTTGAGTTCTCTGAGCGGGAGACTGGGCGGGACACCTCCAGGGTGCTCTTCCGTTTACAGAGGTATCTTCTTTCATGCATTCCCTTGGGCTATCAGTAGTTGTGTGAGTAGGTGTTTTTCCTTTTTTTATGTGTGTTTGTTCTTTTATTTATCCATTATGGTGGTCCGAACTGTTGCACTGCCTGTAGAAGATTCTTTCATAGAATCATAGAATAGTTAAGGTTGGAAGGGACCTTTAAAGATCATCTAGTCCAACCCCTTGCACATGCAGGGATACTTAGAGCATTTGGCACAGGACTGCGTCCAAGCGGGTTTTGAAGATCACTAGAGAAGGAGACTCCACAACCTCTCTGGGCAACCTGTTCCAGTGCTCTGTCACTCTCACAGTCAAGAAAATTTTCCTTAAGTTTCTACGGAACTTTTGATGCTTCAGTTTGTGACCATCACCTCTAGTCCCTAGTGGCCACCACTGAAAAGAGGCCAGCATCATCCTCCTCACTTCCTCCCTAGAGGTACTTATAGACACTGATTAGATCCCCTCTCAGCCTTCTCTTCTCCAGGCTGAACAGGTCCAGCTCCCTCAGTCTCTCCTCATAGGGCAGATGTTCCAGGCCCCTGATCATCCTCGTGGCCCTGCGCTGGACTCCTCCAGCAGCTCCACATCCCTCTTGTACTGTGGAGCCCAGAATCGGACAAAATACTCCAGATGTGGCCTCCCCAGGGCTGAGTAGAGGGGCAGGATCACCTCCCTCGACCTGCTGGAGTGGCCTTGTTGAATTGCATGAGGTTTTTCACCGCCCAGTTGTCCAGTCTGTCCAGGTCCCTCTGGATGGCAGCGCAGCCCTCTGGGGTATCGGCTAATCCTCCCAGTTTGGTATCATCAGCAAACTTGCTGAGGGAGCACTCTGTGCCTTCATCCAGGTCATTGATGAATAAATTGAACAGGACTGGACCAAGGACTGACCCCTGGGGGACCCCGCTAGCTACAGGCCTCCAACTAGACCCTGCACCACTGACCACCACCCTCTGAGCTTTGCCATCCAGCCAGTTCCTAACCCACCTCACTGTCCACTCATCTATCCTACAATTCCAGAGCTTCCCCAGGAGGGTGTTGTGAGGGACGGTGTCAAAAGCCTTGGTGAAGTCAAGATAGACGACATCCACCCTCTCTCCTCATCTACCCATGCAGACTATCAGGTTAGTTGAGCATGATTTCCCGTTGATGAATCCATGCTAACTACTCCTGAGCATCTTCTTGTCCTCCACATGCTTAGAGACAACAGCCAGGATGAGCTGTTCCATGACTTTTCTACTTAACCATCACAGAATGGTTTAGGTTGGAAGGGACCTCTACAGATTATCTAGTCCAAATCCCCCTGCTCCAGCAGGGACACCCAGAGCACGTGGCACAGGGTGGCATCCAGGCGGGTTTGGAAGATCTCCAAAGAAGGAGACTCCATAACCCCTCTAGGCAGCCTATTCCAGTGCTCTGGCACTCTCACAGTAAAGAAGTTCTTCCTCACATGGAGATGGAACTTCCCGTGTTTTGATTCATTTCCATTACCCTTTATCCTAGCTCTTTTTCTGCTACAAGGAAGGAATTCTCTTTATCTTACTCCATTAGAACCTAAAAGAGTTGCTTCTGTATTTATCATTCATGATTTTATTCCTGTTGTGGTAGTTGTCCTTTGCAATTTTCTCTTCTTCCACTTGGTTCTGCCAGGAGGTAGGTGGAGAGGAATCTGCTCATTTTGCTTTTCTGCCTGCAGGATGCAGCTTCTTATTTCTTTTGACACACTATCCTGATATGCATGTCAGTGGACAAGACTCCACTTTTAGCTAGTCAGGACTTTGGATTGAGAAACCTAGAGGTGCATCTAAGAGACCCTTTATTCTCCTGGGAGCTGGTTGTACTATTTGCCTCTGTCAACATTATCCTGGCTGTACAGTAGAACAGCAGTTTAACTTGTTCACAGCACTTTTTGCTCTGCCTCTATCCCTTTGTTTGCAAAAGCTGAGTCCCTCCTCTAAAGTGCAGGCAGTGCTAAAAGAATGGATGTCTTTCTGCACTTCACTGCGTTTTTCTAGGTGTTAAAGCAACAAGACATGTCTCATTTGTGGTAGAGCCTAAGGTACATCAGCCATCTTGTCAAGAGAAACACATCTGCCATAAGCAGGAGATCACTTTGGACATGCTGGGAGCAACAGCTTGGTCTTGCCGCAAGCTAACCCAGAAATGCTGGGAGTGTTGGGGAAACAGTATTCCCATGAACTTGCACCTACTTTAAGCTACCCTTGGGTGCTGGTTTCCCTTGTAACCAGGAAGGTTTTTTTGTTGTTGTTCAGACATGTAACTTCATCTGAATAGGAATGATAGTGCGCTGGTGTGAGTCAGGTCTTGTAAAATCCTTTTAGTTCTTTAATAGGTGCCTTCTGGTACACTGTTTATTCTACTGAGTTCTAAAGATATTTTAAGGAAAGACTACAGCAGCTCAAAAAAAAAAGACACATCTTTCAGAATATGCTTTGAAGTTGCTAGGTGCTTCTTTCTTTGTTAGATATTTGGACAGAGATTTCATTCAGCAGTGATTTAAAGGAAGGAAGCTGAGCTGGACAAGGCAAGTCCTAACTACTTACAGCTATTGTGAAATGGGAAGCATTACAGAAAATGTTCCTTCCTCTCCATTGTGACTGATGTGCATGAGTTGGAGTATGATTGAATTAATGTTTGAGTTGCTTCAACAGAAGTGTTCGCCTTCTTTCTGGGCTATGAAATTGCATTGCACTATATCCCTGACCAGTGGCCATCATGGTCAGTGCTTCTCTTCTCGTCTTCATGGAGTGCTCCACATCCTGTTAGTCAATGTGAGGAAACTAGCCAAGAATGTATTTGCTCTATTTCTTGCTTTGGAATGGTGCAGCATGCTGTGTCCGTCAGATGCATAACTGGAGCTGGAAAAGAGCTATGTGTAAAATGAGCAGTATTTCTCCGTGTTAAACTGAGTCATCTTCCAGAAAAAAAAAAAAAAAAGAAGAAGGCATTCTCTATAATGCTTCATGTTACTGTCTCAATTTCTGCTCTACGTAGCGTGTACCAGCTTACAGATTTGTAGAGGAAAAAAAAAAGAATATCTAATCTGTAAAGCTGAATGAATGTAAACATAAAGACACAAAGCATGGCTTTCTCTAAAAGAAAATCACTCCCCTCACCTTGTTCTGGATTACGGGTTGGAAAGAGACACCTTGAGTCTTAGCTGCTCCATCCATTACTTGCATGGACCAGAGCTCAACCCTCTGCTTGGGGCTGCAAGGGTACCTACGCCTGTGCTAATTTGGTGCTGCTATTTTGGCCATAAATGCTAAATTAACACAAACACAGTACACAAACATATATCAGGATCAGTATATTTATCAGTATATTTAGTATGAGTAAACCAAGATTTAAATAACCAAGAATAAACCAGGATTTAAATAACTGCCCTTCTGTTTCACTGCCCTTTGCTTAATTTTCCTCAGATGACCAGATACAATCTGCAAGTTATTTATATGACAATGAAACTTGAATCAGAAGTTTTGTTTCAGGGATATTAGTGATTGAGTTCTAGTCTGCCATTTTTCTCATTATGATACCTTTTTTTCTCTCTAAAGTAATGGGAAAAATGTGTCCAGAACAACTTTGGAAGCCTGGTTCAGTGTGATAATAGGCTGATTAAGAATATATATGAAACGAAATTAAGTTCATACATGCTAGTTGCTTGTTCAGTGTTTGCAGAATCGATTAGGCACTGAGATGTATGGGAAATAAACTGTACACACTGTTGAACCAGTGCCTGCAGTTTGAAGACCACCTGCATCATGTGGGTAAAACACACAAATTTTGTAACCCTCCCTTTCAAAAGAAGTGCTTGCACAAAACATACTTGTTCTACAAATACAGGCAACATATGCCATGCAATTTATTTTTAATTGCCTAATGTCTGGATGCAGCT